AGAATAAGGAATAGTATAAAATAGAATAAGGAATAGAATAGAATAGAAATAACACTGTTTTGAGGGTAGAAGTTGAAACAATTTATGTCCAGGGTAAATAAAAAAGATTTTAAAAGTCAGGGTTAGGGGCCTGCCATTACGTAAAAGAAGAAGTCTGCATGTTCAACGGGCGAAGGAAACACTGGGGTCACCTCAAACCATGAAGATGCTGAAACACAGAGGTGTCACTGTTGCACAGCCTGTTTTGCATCCCATAGTTTGGCTTTCTGGAGAAGTCTGGCAAAACGTATTCTCTGCTACAAGTTGGAAGGCATCAGGCAGCTGACACAACTCTTTGCAACTCGAAACGTGCCTTCCTTGAGGAATTTTGCTGGATATTTCTGTGGGGGGATTGGACAGTAGCTACTAAGTTTGATGCAACATTATGGAGGCGGCTGTTTTAATCTTCCCTTCTCCTTCTCTACTAATCCTTGAGGGTTTGTAACTGGCACACTGAAGAAAAATTTATATACTGGGCAAGATTCGTCTAGATGGCATTACCTAATAATGGATCTTTCATGGACTTTAAAATGTCCCAAACAATAGAACAGAGAGAGAGAGAGAAAAGAGTGAGGGAGGGAGGAGAGGAGAGAGAGAAGAGAGAGACAAGAGAGAGGAGAGAGAGAGAAAGAGAAAAGAGAAGAGGGAGGAGAGAGAGAAAGAGAGAAGAGAGAGAGTATGTGAGAGAGGGAAAGACAGAAAGAGGAGAGAGAGAGAAAAGAGACAGGAGAGAGGAGAAGAGAGAGAAGAAAGAGAACAAAGAGAGAGGAGAGAGAGAAGAGAGAGAGAGGAAAAGACAGAAAGAAGAGAGAGAGAAAAGAGAAGAGAGCATTGAAGAGAGAGAAGAGAGAAGAAAGAAGAGAGAGAGGGAGGAGAAAGAAGAGAGAAGAGGGAGGAGAGAGAGAAAGAGAAGAGAGAGAGAGGAAAAGAGAGAAAGAAGAGAGAGAGAGAAGAGAGAGGGAGGGAGGGAGGAGGGAGGGAGAGAAAGGGAGGGATGTATCATTTTGTCTTGCCAAAATGGCCTCAATCCTCTCTTGTGAAGAAGATTCTATTAATAATAATTAACTACTTATGCTTGAAGAAGGGAATGACTTCTCTCTATCCAAGTCTTAGAACTTCTGATACTTGTTGACACATACGTTGGCCCTTTGTTTTGTGGTGCTGGTTTCAGTTCAGTTGGAAAGTGGGTTGGCTTCTCCCTCGTGAGCCCCATCACACTTGCCAAGTCTTCATTGTGCAATCCGTGGGGCTCCCACCCCTTTAGCTGAAAAGAAAGAGAGCGGAGAACTTTGACGAGCGAGCTTTTATCGCTTTTCTGTGTGTGTTTGTGTTTGTTCCAGTTTAAAATAAATTGGACCCTGCTTTAAAAAAAAAAAAACCCAGGGCAGGTCACCCCACATTCCTTACTTGGAACTTATGGCTGGAAAGATTTAGCAGAAGGTTAAAGTGACCACGGACCAGCTGTAGCAGCGTGCTTTAAAAAGTTGGCCGTTGCCAGGAAGTCTCCTTGTCCTCGTTTTTTTTTGGACACCCTTCTCAACTTTTCAGTTCTTCTAGATTGGGGTGGTTGGGCGGCAGCGCTGCCTTCTCCTCCTAACCCAGATTTGCACTCTGGCGTGGATTCAAACATGGAGCCAGGCGGAGAACTGAGCTTGAAATCACCTGCCAGCACTCAAGTTATGGGAAGCAGTCGGGTTGCAAAGTGGGAACTAGTTAGGAGCGAAGGCGAATCTGGGTCACCCAGGATAACATTGCAGGATCCAATCTGGGTCGGTGACCAGGACCAGAAATTTTGTCTTCTGAGCTTTTGCACTTGTGCTGGAGACCATCTTCAGGGAACTTCTCTGTACCAGAATCTATCTATCTGTCTGTCTGTCTATCTATCTATCTATCTATCTATCTATCTATCTATCTATCTATCTATCTATCTATCTATCTCTAGCCATCTCTATCTATCATCAATCTATCCTGTGTCATCTGTCTGTCCATCTGTCTGTCTGTCTTGTCTATCATCTCTCTCTCTCTCTCTCTCTCTCTCTATCTATCTATCCATCCTATCCTTCTATCCTATCTATCTACCTACATACCTACCTGCCTATCTATCTATATCATCAATCTATCTGTATATTATATACAGTATTAACAATCTATCTTGTATCATCTGTCCATCCATCCATCCATCCATCCATCTATCATCTATCTCGAATGAAGGCAAATATGTGTTTCCCAGGATAATGTTGCAGGATCCAATCTGATTCCGGTAACCAGGACCACACAATTTGCTGTTTGGTGTCAATCCTCCTCCAGTGAATATGCACGTTGCAGAGGGAGGCAAAATGTTACATATTCCATCTCAGAATAAAATGCTTCCACCTCACTAGGTCCCTCCCCACCTCAAAATCTTTTGCTTGATTCTTTAAGATCTGTGTTTCCGTGACATTGCTTTTTTCTTTCTTTCTTTCCTTCAACAAAAGTATCTTTGTGGTAGTTTCCATAAAGATTGTCTTTGATCTCTTGGGACTGGGCAAACATTGGCCTTTTTTTGGGTCAAATAGTTGAAATTGTGGATGTACCGATCCATGGAGCCTGAAAACCGATTAGGAGACGCTTAACATTTTTCTTTTACTGTCTCTCTCTTGGCACTGCATGCTTGGTTTGTTGATTTACTTTTTCCTAATTGTGCCAAGCTGCCATCCATAGGAGGAAATGCATTCTTGTGGCTTTGGTGCACAATATTTGTATAAATATTTATTTTGTATCACAGTGGCTAGAAAAGAGGCATTTCACCCTCCCCCCCCCACACACAGAGTAGTTAAGGAGTATACAATTCAATGTCCCTTGTTGTTGAAAGCTGAACTGAAATTAGAAGAAGATTAACCACGGGATATTTCACAGAGATTGCACAATCTTCTTGTGCACACACAAACAG